TAGACCCACCTCCATGTTTAGGAGAGACCTTTCTCGATCTTCGTCTCCTTTTTCGCCATATCGAAGACCTAAATCTTCTATCGAGGATCATATATTCTACTGGCACAACAGTGAAGCTGGAATAAGCCAAAGAGTAGGCCCAGAGGTAGGTGCAGTGCACTGCTAAAGAAGAATAGCTGTTTCTAAGTCCCACCATAATTGCAAACAAAAGCCAGCTGCCTAAGTAAGTGACGACCATAGCAATGCATATTTTAGTTAATTTGACCTCCTTCTGTACTCTCGAAGTGCCGAGAACGGAGCGAAGGTGGGACGAATACTCCCGAACGTACTTTACGATTCCATGAAATCTGTAGAAAATAATGCACAGGGAAGGGACGATCCACAGAGTCACCACGGCGAGCATGGCTGTCTTGCCAGTAAGAGCTTGGGTATGTATTTCCCGGCCGGGTCTGTTGCACACGTATCCTCTCTCAAAGGCGGTCAATATGTGTCCGGTACCCCCGGGTACAACAGTACAACATGAAAACAGCCAGATAAATACAAGATAATATGCTGTTTTCTTGCAGGTTATCTTACGGTTTGGTGCTAAACAAATGGCATCATAGCGGTCAACTGCGATGGTGGCTAACGTCATAATGTTGACGGCAAAGCACGTGAACATTGTGAAGAACCTTGCCAAACAAACTGTGAAAATCAGGTAAGAGAAAAACTTAGTTTACGAATATTGTCAAGCATCCCAAGAATTTGCATCCACATATTAAACAATTACTGAATGAGATTTTTGATCTAAGTTAGGAGAGTTATCAGACGAGCTGAAGGCAAACTCTAGTTATCTAGAGTTTGAAGCAAAACGGAGCAGTTTAAAAAACGAACTTTTTTCAACCTCGTATCACACCTTACGAAGCAGTGGTTACAATGTAGTTAGAAATCTTAATTAATAAAATAGTTCAAAATCTCGATTTCTACTTAGGTATTTTTCACACATCATCTCATATTTTCAATCAATAACCGATCAGTGCCCGTTAAACACTGCAATCGGAACGTTACTTCATCCCTACGGCACAATAATAAGTTGAAAGAAGGATGTTTTTCGATCATTGCAGTAACTGTCTTTATTATCCGTTCAAATATTTCCCCGATCCTGATTGACTAAAAGCGCACGCAAAATTCACCATAACCAGCTACAGATTACCAAATTTGGAAGAATTTCGCGTTTAATGAGATGACGTCAAAAGTGCAGCCTTCTTGCAGGTTAATGCACCGTTAACTGAGAAAACCTGAGGACGAAGTTGAGTACTGATTATTTTTACAAACATGAAGGTGTTGAAGATTGTAAATAATAGACTGTAAATAATTTAAATTTTCACCTATTATAGAGGATTTATGATCACATAATCATAATCATATTATTATTTATCTCCTTGGGTTTTTTATCAAACTGTTTTTATTATCCNGTGAAGAACCTTGCCAAACAAACTGTGAAAATCAGGTAAGAGAAAAACTTAGTTTACGAATATTGTCAAGCATCCCAAGAATTTGCATCCACATATTAAACAATTACTGAATGAGATTTTTGATCTAAGTTAGGAGAGTTATCAGACGAGCTGAAGGCAAACTCTAGTTATCTAGAGTTTGAAGCAAAACGGAGCAGTTTAAAAAACGAACTTTTTTCAACCTCGTATCACACCTTACGAAGCAGTGGTTACAATGTAGTTAGAAATCTTAATTAATAAAATAGTTCAAAATCTCGATTTCTACTTAGGTATTTTTCACACATCATCTCATATTTTCAATCAATAACCGATCAGTGCCCGTTAAACACTGCAATCGGAACGTTACTTCATCCCTACGGCACAATAATAAGTTGAAAGAAGGATGTTTTTCGATCATTGCAGTAACTGTCTTTATTATCCGTTCAAATATTTCCCCGATCCTGATTGACTAAAAGCGCACGCAAAATTCACCATAACCAGCTACAGATTACCAAATTTGGAAGAATTTCGCGTTTAATGAGATGACGTCAAAAGTGCAGCCTTCTTGCAGGTTAATGCACCGTTAACTGAGAAAACCTGAGGACGAAGTTGAGTACTGATTATTTTTACAAACATGAAGGTGTTGAAGATTGTAAATAATAGACTGTAAATAATTTAAATTTTCACCTATTATAGAGGATTTATGATCACATAATCATAATCATATTATTATTTATCTCCTTGGGTTTTTTATCAAACTGTTTTTATTATCCGGAGTTCCCGACTCGATGCAACTACTCAGCTGCGTTTGGAACATTCAAGAATTTACTTTAGTCTCTAACTGAAACGCCAATATTTGCAACAACCTTATCGGCAATACATTTTTTACGATTTGGAATATTTACAACAGTATGAATGCAAATTTGCGTCCAATTTGAATGCGATTTTCTTTGTAAATTTTCTATCAGTTTGTGTGCAGAGACAAAGTTCAGACACAAAAAAAACAATCTCTGGTTCATTTTTATCAAGGGGCTTTTTCGAAACATTTCCAATTATCTTCATTGCTTCTACACATATTTTCCCAGGGAAACGCATGTCGGCGATCTCATTTCATGTTCATATTCATTAGCTCCACTTCCGAAGAAAGTAAGTAAGTAAAATTTTATTTACACGGGGTAGCTCATTCAGCTCTAAGGCCGATCTCTATGGGGGCCCTGTATCTTAAAAATTAATTTACTTCAAGAATTTTCATGAACTATTACATTTAAAAAGACTAATAAAAATACAATAATAGAATTTAAGAAGTACATTAAAAAGCCTAAAAATACAATGCAAAATCACATTTAAAGCCTAAAATATAATAACATATCAAAGTTATGATAAAAAGAAATGTCGTGCTCAGAGGCAGAACGTTTGAATGTTTTCACTCTTCAAAATGTTTAAAGGGAGCTTGTTTTCCCAAAATTCTGTTTAACGCTTGGTAGGGATAGCCTCATACTTTACCTTGTAGAATAATTGTGAATGTTGGAAAATCTAGTAAAATATAATGAAAAATAACTAGGAACTAATGAGTGAACACGGTGAAAAACGAGTTTAGCCTTGTGGTAAGAGCGTACATTGACATAGGAAATCAGATTCAGCTTTGCGCCGCAAAAGAACAGGAAATGATTATACTTCGTGGTTGTTAATTGGTTATACATTATCAGTTCTAGTAACAATGAATTATCTTTCCGGGAAATCTAACTCTCAGTATACGTGACAATTAACAAGTGAATAGCCCACGCGCTTGAAATTAAACTGAATCAAATGCTTTTTGTAAATGCAGGTAACATGACAAACCAAAAGTGTTTGAGTAAATGACGTCGTTTGCTTTTCGTCATAGACTCAGATGCACGCATCAAATAACCTTAGTTTTTCATTTGATAGCCTTCTTGTGCCATGCTCCAAAAAAACATGCAACGGAAAGTGTATTTAGAAGTCTCAATTAACAATTTTATTAGCAGGCCAGCTTTGAATTATGAGGAATTCTTTGCGTTTTTTTTTTTGAAGCAAGTTGTGCCGCACACCTTCGTACTATTACTACAAACGAATATTAACGCCACACATTATTCGGGCTTACCCGACTTTTCAGTAAATTCATTTTATATCTCATTAATTTAAAACGAATGTTTCGCCGACACAATAATCAAGGCTAGAGTGACCTTGTACAGTATAACAACCAGTACCAAAGGGAAAGAACTGTTCAGTGGCATTCGTTTAAATGCCGCAGGATTTCGCCCACAGACTCAGTTTAGGACCACCTTGCATAGCATAATAAACAATACAACAGAAAAGTACTGCTTAGTAGCATTCATTTGCACAGTCACAGGTCGGGCCCCAGTAACATAAAAAGTCGATCTATAAAACAGGTTCTTCTGTGGCTAAAAAATTGGAAGTATACTGTATTCAATTTAAATCAACCCAAGAGATCAAATTTTGCTAATTAAACAGTTTCATTTGTAGAACTGCAAAATCTTTTAGAACTACTGCTGAAATGTCGTTTCCAATAGATTTCCTAAATATTTCTCAATGTCGTTAAATGCACGTCCCTAGCCAACATGTACCTTTACATGTAGCTTTTCAGTCCCTTGAAACGATCACGGAGTATTCCCAATTGCACAGATACACACTGGATAGAATGAATGGATTAAAATAAGTATCCTACCGTCATTGTCTGCAAGGTCCAAGCTGCCATTTAAAGCTGTGATATGAAGTGGGAGGCTGACAAGACAAGCGATCAGATCGACAGAGGCATAGTTCATGAGGAGCATTTTGTCGGGCGTCAAAGTGCCATGACGATATTTCCAGATGAATGCGAGAAGAACAGAATTCGTGGTGATTCCAAGAAAACACACCACTCCTAAAAAGACATTCTGTGCCACTAGTCCTCGGCATTGACCATTTGTTTGCTCAGGAAAACTTGAACTTAAATTCGCAAATTCAGCCATTCTACATTATTATTTTTTATCTTTGGCGCTTGCTTCAATTACATAATGAATAATTGCACGAACATCTCTTTTGACTTCGCAGTTTTTTCTTTTGGGGCTACAATACACTGTAGATCAATCCCGCTAATTAAAAACCAGCTGCAAGCGTCGTTTTTCAAAAATTCTCTTACCAAAACTGGGAAAACTAAAATCAGTCACTTAAAAGTCTCTCTTTGATAAACCCTGGATTGTTACTTGGTCTCGTTACCAACCGTAACATTAGAAATTAACGCGACAGAAATCGCACTTAACAAATATTAAAAATTTGCATAGACAATGATTTTACCACATGATATGACTTTGAATGGCAGATTTTCGTCTAAATTAATTTATGATTAGTCAAGAAATCTTGCCAACAAAAATGTAATTTTATTTAGATTGTCTCACTCACGCGCTTCTTTTCTTGTTTTCCGGATCTCTCTCAGAGATGTGAACAATTTACAATCTCAATTGACCTGTGTTAACAGCAGCACAGGCAATGAAATTTGATTTCGAATAAATCAGACAGGATTTAAAAATAAAAACTGCAGGACGCCACTCATTTGTCAAGGGCAATTTCTAGCCATAGAAATTTTTTTCTTTACTTCAAGAAAGGGCTTCATATTTTCCAGTTCTATCTTCTCTCGAAATTTCAATCTGCAATTGCCAAATAAAGTACAGAATATCACTTAAAAGTTCACTTTGCGAACTAAATCCAAAAATAAATAAACATAACAGACCATTTTTACTTTCATATTCAAAACTCATTCGTAATATTGGTGCGTATAAGGCACGTCCACACGAATCAGGATATATTTGAAACCGCTTTTTTTTTTTTTTTTTTTTTCATGAAACGACCCTCCGTTCACATGAAACCAATGAATCTGCTCATTAAAACCGAATCTTTTTTAAACCTCCTTTTTTTTCCGCGAATCGACCTTCCGTTCACATGAAACCCATGATTCCGCTCATTAAAACCGCATCCGGCTTTTTCAAACCGCTTTCCAGAATGGTTCAAGACCCTATTAACACGAATCCGGCTAAAAAAATACGCGGTTTCAAAAATGTCTGGATTCACCCAAGCACCGCCTTAAGGTGATGTTACGCGGGACGATTCGCAAATTTAGCGCAAGGCAGCATTACAACATTGTTGCGACATTATTTCCAACGGTTGCAACATTGTTCCAACATTGCTACGCTGTGTTCAGTTCAAGATCCCCTCGGGTAAAATCACCTTTACTCGCCGGGTGGGAACTAAAAATCGACGACGGCATGAGATAAAAACGCATGACAGTAGCCGTGTAATATATATTTGCTGCACAAGTCAAACAACGATATCAATAACTATTGTAAATACTATGTTATTAACCCTGTAATACTTAACGGTTCACATATAATTTCGTAATTCCCAACATGAAATAGTCGCAAGTATGGTAGAATCTTTTACATTCTGAAGGTGGAAATAATTAATATCAGGGCCAATACAAGAGTAAAAAGGTTTTCTAATTAACCCTTGAATCAACCATTTTAATTAATGCCTGATGTTTTGTTCCCACACCGAAAGCATGGGTTGTGAAGATTGAAGTATAGGATGCACTACTTTCCCCATTTTGTCGAATTTTGGCTAAAAATATGCAGCGTAATGATTTCTTTTGTTTTGTTTGTTGTTGTTTGGACTCTCAGTCTGTTTTCCCAACTCCTATATGTCATAATGTAATAATAATAATAATAATAATAATAATAATAATAAAATATTTATATAGCGCTTATACTTTTCAGCGCTAAGCAGGTAGAGGTCGACGAGTAATACATTTGTTTGAGGGTTTAAAGTAAGAAAATGAGTTACCTAGTTTTTAGGTATTTTGTTGTTTATGTGTTAATATGGGAAGCCCGATTTCGATTTTCGTCAAGGTATGGCCTGGTATTTGCTGTAGTTCTGTTCTTCAATGCTATGTATATCATGCTTATTTTCTTTATGGGGGGAGGGAATAGTCCAGTTTCGAGTTCGCTGTGACCGCGGATTAAAGAAGTGAAGACGTATTTTTTAACAGGCTTAGCCTCCATCTGAAGTAATAAATTCACAAATTCCAACGAGAAAAAGACCTGTTTATTACTCTGTCTATTTTTTATATTCAAATTTCAAACACTTACCTGCCGGACCAGTTTGGTTACTAAACAAGACGAAAGCCAAAGAAGAGGTAACTAGTGTTCGTCAATACGCCATTTACCACGCTTCTTGCGTCATCAGGCTTTAGGTATAATCCTTCTCAATAATATAGAGAGCGCTTAGAAGCTCATGGGAAGGCCGCACCCTACTTATGCCACTGTGGTGAGTTTAAGATTTGAACGAGGTTCGCCCCTGGGAAACCACTTTTGAGAATATCGTGAAAGTGGAATAGGGCACTACATACCAATTCTTTTATTTCCTTTGGAGGCACCTTACATGATTCTATAAGTGTCCCATTCTTGCCCTTTCCTTTTTGGACATTAATCCTTTCCTTTTTTATCACTTTTTTTCATGTATGTATATTTCATCTACTTTGTTCTTGCCTAATGAAAGTATGGAGTAAATTCTTAGTTAAGTTAACAACTTTTATCAAAAATGCGCTTGGGTTGAAAGACAACGGAACATCAGCTTTATTATTAGACGATACCAGGTTTGCAATTTTTTTTGATTTGTACTGTGGAAATGTAAATTCGCGTAGCAAAAAAAAAAAAAAAAGAAAAAGAAATTGCCTGGACTCTACGCATTGAACCTTGCGACGCAAGACGACACAATTCTAAAATATAACCATTATTTCTTCATCTCAGCAACTCACAAGAAACAGATAAACTATAAATTATATGAGTTAATAATGATAACGTGATCTAACTTTTTTAAGTGACCTGTAAGATTCATATTCTTTCCTTAATCTCATATATTAGAAGTAGGAGCTTCCATGCAAAATGTCTTCTAAGAACAGCAACAATATAATCTTAACAAAAGTATCTTAAGACTTTCCTTACAATCATCGTCAATACAAATAACATCGTTTCGACTGAAAATGGAAGATCCCCTCCAACTTTATCCTTTAAACTTCAACACAACGCTATTAACGAAAGATTTCACAGCAGTTTCTTAACAAATCATTCACATGACGATTAATATTGAATAATACGGTAGTACATTTCCCAACCTTCTTAATTCTTTTGTGCTAGGTATTACATCATCATCATCATCAAAAAATCCTAGAGAAGCATATCTAAAAGGTGACGTACGCATTATACATTATATTGAAATCTTTTAAATAACCGTCCTCCTTCTCCCAGTCACCATCATCACCATCATCATCATCATCATCATCATCATCATCTTCGTCATCATTACCATCATCACCGTCCTCCTCCTCCTCCTCCTTCTCATCATCATCATCATCATACTATGTACTGTAGGTCAGTACACCAGTCACTGTTATCGTGAAGCCTTGTTCAGTATTTCCAAGAGCCCGTATGAAGAACAACACGCAGTATATCTCCAAAAACAGAGATTCCCCTTCAAAGGTTATAGTGCTCTCTATTTAGAAATCTACTTAGCAATTTAGGATGTTAAAAAAAAATTGTGAAAAAAAGATGTTTCACAAACCTATTGTCTGAAAGAAACAGACCTCAGCAGTTGAACAAGTCTCCCACGCAAGCAGGGGAGATGCGTGACGAGCCAAGAGAATTTCTGCGTTGGGAGGCCACAGCTAACTGGCTTTCTGGCTTGTCATCAAATAGCCAAATAGTTCCAACCTAGACCTGGCACTCTGCCTCGATTTGGCAACAAAAGAGCCTCCAACCATTTTGCTTGGCATAAACGTTCGCTAATTCCAAACTCAACATTGATGATCTACTCATCAACACTCAGTAAGGCTCAGCAACACTTACGCTCAACCCAAAGAGAGCAAATCCAGCCGTTGAAATGTAGTCATCAAGCTCTGTTAACCACCTGAAACGTTTGCCAAGTTTCCAACTATGCATTTTCCAATTCCCTTTGCATTAATGGGCTCCGACAAAAGCAGCACACTCACAAGAACAGTCACTAATACTATACAGCCAACCTTCACTGGAACGCTCGACCTTCCTTTGCACCAACAACCTGGCACTCCTTAAAGAGACACTACCATCTCACTAATAAACAAACGCAGTCTGTTTCCCTTCTATCTTCAAAAATCTCCTGTCGTATGGGCAGCTATTCAGTAGCTCTTTCTACATCATGACTTTGTACTTAACATCAGACAGAGCACCAACCCATGCTCAGCAGTTTCACTAAATCCAAACAACGGGTCTTGTGCTTTAGCTAATCCAGTTTTCTCTAGATTAGTCCAGATATAACTCTTCTTCCAGTTCCCTGTGTAAAGCGCTTCTCAGATGCATAGCCACTCCCCTTGGATGCCTGCACTGCACATTGCACAGGGGACAAACTACTTCCTGAGAAAACATCTCCGAAGACCTGAGGAAAAAGGAAAATCATCAATAATCAAAGTGTTGCTATAGCCATGCGAGTCTTCTGATGATATCGCTATTGGCCAGGGCGAGTTATTTGCTTGCCAATAATTCAAATAAACATAACAGGATATAGAACCCAACTAAGGAGGCAAAGCATGCAGTTGGCTATATACAAACGTGACCAAGGATTTAAACTCGGTACTACCCGGCGAGAACAAATCCAGCTAGCGGTTTTGAACTTAGGGCTTTCGGGATTACCAGTCCAACGCTCGGTTCTGTTGAAACACGTTAGCCCCCTCTAGCACCGGTTTTGATTCATTTTTTACCAATTCGCAACAAAAAAAAAATGACGGGCTAAATTCGAGAGAGAAGGAGTTAGATACGTCGGTTGAGAAGGTGTGGCAAGAGAAAATCACGCATTACATTTAGGTTTTCAAAAAAAAATTCACTGATAATGTGCTCGGCGATTTAACAAATCGATAACAATTTTTCACGCTCTATACTCTCATCGACCA